TGGTAAGCTCCTCTGCCAGCTCCTTCAGCACTCTTGGGTGGATCCCATCCGGTCCCATAGACTTGTGGATATCCAGGTGGCATAGCAGGTCAAAGACTGCTTCCTCCTGGATTATGGGGGGTTCATTCCACTCATTATCCCCATCTTCCAGCTCGGGAGGCTGGGTACCCTGGGGATAACTCATCGGGCCATTAAAGACTGAGGCAAAGAAGGCATTGAGTAACTCAGCCTTTTCCTCGTCTTTAGTGACAATGTTCCCCCTTGCATCCTCTAGAGAATGGAGGTTCTCCCTGGCTCTCTTCTTGCTGTTAACATATTTATAAAAACTCTTCTTATTATCCCTTACAGCAGTGGCCAGGTTAAATTCCAGCTGGGCTTTTGCCTTTCTAATTTCCTCTCTGCATGACCTGACAAGATCCTTGTACTCTTCTTGGGTTGCCTGCCCCTTCTTCCACAGCTGGTAAGCTCTCCTTTTTTTCCTGAGTTGCAGTAGTAGGGCTCTGTCCAGCCAGGCCGGTCATCTTCCCCACCGATTTGTCTTATGGCACATGGGGACAGCCTGCTCCTGTGCCTTTAAGACTTCTTCCTTGAACAACACCCAGCCTTCTTGGACCCCTTTGCCCTTCAGGACTATCTCCCAAGGGACTCTCCCAACCAGCGTTCTGAGCAGGTCAAAGTCTGCCCTCCGGAAGTCCATGGTGGCGGTGTTGCTGACCCCTTTCCTTACCTCACCAAAAATCGAAAACTCTACCATCTCCCTTTCGCTTTCAGATCATGGTATTAATCCCAGCTGGAAGCAGGGGCAGCGTTCTCATAAGCCATAGCTGGCCTAAGGCTATATAAGGGCAAGAAAATATTCCTTCCATCGCGTTACCACTTCCCTTTTATACCCTCCTTCCTGCTTACTTCAACAGGAACAGCAGCACTCTTTTCCCTCCCAAATTTATATTCCCCCCTTGCAAACATCCAACATATGTTGCTTCATGCGTGCCAGCTTCCCTTCTCCCTCAAAGCGTGCAGCTGAGTCATGGAATGGAGCTGAACTCTGAACACCTCAACCTGGATTTGGCTGAAAGTTCACTGCTTCTGTTTCACATCAACAAAAGGACCATGTGCCCAAAGGCCTGCTTCCTCCCAGCCATTCTGTGGGTCTGACAGGAGATACTGCCTCTCCCTACTGCAACCCTGCGAAACGATAGAAAGCACAGTGGGAGCACAGTTGTATTCTCTTTTCTCAGATGCTAAACGCGTAGCTCACTACGGGAACCTGACTCTTTCACACTCGGAAAGTCAATTTTCAGTTACTATTCTTGAGATTTAACACAGACACACTCAAGTGAACATCTCCACCGCCAGCACCATTCCTCTCTTCCTTCCAGACAGGCAGGTCCCCGGGCTCTGAGCTCCCCTGGCTGCTTACAACAGCGCTTGCTGTTCTGCTCCAAAGCAACAGAACCGGCCCTCAGGTCGGTGCAAAGAGCCAACAAACCGAAGAGGCGTCTTTCATCAAAGCTGGGACCAGTCATCACAAATGACTTGTCCGACTGGCAACTGCAAAGACAGTGCTGCCTGTGGGTACAAAGAGATTGAGGAGAGGAGAGCACAGCCAAACTATGGTACAAGAGCTCTCGAGGGTGTTAAGGACGAGAAAGTGTGGAAAGGAAGATTTAAGAACAAACCACTGCTCAAATGGGAGTAACCTCCCCCAGGGGCCTGCGGTCAATACGGAGTGCATTGAAAATGGACAAAGACACCAGAGCAATGGTGTGCAGAGCCCTCAAGGAAAGGGAGGAGATGGCACGGAGCAGCAGATGAGGGCTCCTGTCAGCCCATTCCTGTGGCAAGTTCCCGATTATCTGGGAACACCTCGTCAGGCACCTCCTTCCCAGAACACGCCACACCGGGTACCGTTTTGCTACGACTCGTCCTCAGATGTCACGGATACCACTGGGGTGTTGCTTCTGGGGACACTGGACATCCCCATGAGAAAGGGAGGGCAGCATCACTGTACCATAAGCTTTGGCTGAGTAACTAAAACATATTTGTACAGATGTTGTCTGTAGGCAAAGCTCTCAAGTTTTATTTGAACCATGAAAGACTGAGGAACAGTGTTATCTTGTTAGACAGGCATACAGACAAACTCCCAGAGGAGTCTAACAGCTGAGAAAGTAACAAGTGAGTTACAGACGCTCGGAACAAGCACCACAAGTTGTCTTACAGCCTACCTGTGGGACCTGGGGAGAAAGAGGAGCCTGTCACCTGGAAAACACGCAAGGTTTCCAGTAATGACAGAGCAGAGGATCCTGCTTCATGCGGAAGCCTGACCCTTCAGCACATGCTGGCTCTCAAGGCCTGGGTGACTGCTGTCCAGTAACTCTACTTGTTGTTATCAAACTGTTAATTTTTACACCAGGCTAACCAGAGCATCGGTAGGAAACACCAAAGGCTTTCCCAGAATGGGAGGAGTAAGATACCTCAGTAATAGGGGTACAAAATGGGAGGAATTTTGCTACGGCCTTGAGCCCTCCTCCACAACAGATCACTGCAATGAATCACAACAAGCAGCATAAGCGTCCAACACTGTTCCAAACCAGCTGTGGTTACGTCCCTGTAACGACGCTTAGGAAGAGCAGGAATTCTCAGTTCACAGCTGGGGTTCAGGCAGTCAAAAGCTGCAGTGCCCCGTCATGCAGGCTTACGCTCCTCACTCACCAGGCACTGAATTGGAGCAGCAAAGGCTTCAAGCGTGAGCCACAGGCGCCCTCCAAACCGGGTGCCACCTCCAGCCCAGGAGGACAGAAGGGACCAGGGATCTAGAGGTTGGCGGAATGCGGCACGAGGAGATGCTTAGACTAGATATAAAGAAGAAATTCTTTACAATGAGGGTAGTGAAACACTGGAACAGGTTGCCCAGAGAGGTAGTGGATGCCTCATCCCTGGAAACATTCAAGACCAGGTTGGACGGGGCTCTGAGCAACCTGGTCTAGTTAGCGGTGTCCCTGCTCACTGCAGGGGGGTTGGACTAGATGACCTCTAGGGGTCCCTTCCAACCCAACACATTCTATGATTCTAAGAGCTAGAGAAAAAAACAAGGTGTCCCAAGCAGCCATTGACAATACCCAAACTCCCCTGGTAATTCTGGTCTGCTCACAACGTGAGGAATCCTCCTGGGTTTCCATATCTGCTTCTACAGCAGAGAGAGTGGTCGGCTTCAGGAACATACTCTAGGAAGCTGGCAAGGTTGGAGAAGATGTGGAGCAAGAGTTATTTTTAAAAGCTGTTTGTTTCCAAGTGAGCATTCTGCTTAGTCCAGCTGCACGTCCTCAGGAAGTTCTACCACTACAGGAGCGCAGTCATCAGGCTCTGCCTCGAAGTCCCATTTAAATTTCTTCGTTAGGTGAGCCTTGAATTTTTCAGCCTTCTTCCTTAGGGTCCCATCAACAGCAGCACTGCACGTGTAGGAAAAAAACACCTGAAAGAACAGAGCAGAGGTCAGCCGTGGCACAAGCTGTGCACCTCTTTCCCACAAAGGTGTCCACAACAGGGTGTGCCAGGAAAAGCTGCAGGTTAGGCCACTGGTGAGGCATTGTTGGCCCTGGAAACTGTGCCAGCTTTGGGGCTACCTAAGCAAAGCCCAAGCTTCCTCCCTCATCCTGCAGCCAAGACAGACGTCCACTGAGTCAGCGTTAGAAACATCTGCGCTGAGGCCACGACTGTGTTTCAGGCAGGAGTATTTATGTAATTAAATATGTACCATGGAATTCTGAACTACGCTTAAATGCCAGCAATGAAAAATGTCTGAGCAAAAGGGGGACAAAAAAAAAAGGAAAAAAAAAGAGAGGACTCTCAGTTTCCATTTGCCACGCAGCCAATTTTACAGCATGTGTCAGAAGGGCCACCAGGTCATTACACCCACCCTTCCCATGGCTGGATGGACCAGGAGATCCCCCAAAGTATTTTTGTAATATGGCAGCACCAACACCTTTGGATACAAGGGGAACTTGACAAAATTACCTTGAAGGTAAGAGAGGAACGGGAACTCGCTAGAAGAAGTCTGGTTACCCCCAGCAGCACCATTCCCTGAGCACCCGGCACTGACATCTGGACCAAGCTCTGTGGGTGGCTCCCTCCACCCTGCACCCCCCTCCCACAGATCCAGGAACTTCCCACAAATTCACAGCTCCTCTTAGCGCTTTGGCAGTTAAAGCACCTCAGCTTGAGCCTCAGAGCCCCTCCCTCATCAGCCTGCTTCTGCTCCTCTTCTAAACTTGGGATCCAGAGTTCATGGCCGTAGGAAGAAATTTGTATTTCAAAGCCAAAGAAAAAAATCATGGGGTGATAGAAGCAGAGGGAATGCCCTCTGGGGAAAAAGCAGGCTCTTATTTGGGAGAGACCTGGTGCCAGCTGGATAAAACACTGACAATGAACAGCAATGTTTACAATCATTTGCCTTTCCCTTGTTCATTTTACAGTGAAAGGGCCCCTTTCTAACAGAGCTCTTACACAGCCAGGCTGCGATTTAAAAAAAGGAAAAAATTGACAAGATCGTAATTCCCACTTCTCCTCAAGGAACAGCACGTTGCTTATTTCATCAATATTTCTTTTTTTTTTTCTTTATGCACTGTTAAGGCTGCAAACTCAGTGGGGGTTATGCTGAGCTCTTCCTGCCTTAGATCAAACTCTGAAAATAAAGTTGCTGTATTCAAAGCTGAGCAAAAGCTAACACAGACAGCTCACTCCCGACACAGACCATCGCGCATGTCTTCTGATCCGCCTGCCCACACCCTGCTCAGACCAATTGCTCTGACGGCGGCCTAAGGAAAGCGATGGGGTAAGGCAAGTCCCAGAGTTTCCCAGCGCTGTTTCAGCCCATCAGGGAAACCCCACAGGAGCAGAGAAACTGAGAACTTCTAGCAAGGAAAGGCTTGGTTCAGCCATGAGGCACATTTTGGCTTTGTTTTTAGGAATGTGGCAACTCCTGCTAGGGCTTAACAGTCACGGCTGAAGCCAGCACAGGCACCTAAAGGCATCAGCTGCTGCTGCTAAGGAAACAGCACAGGCTGATGCAATCCGTGGGCACACGACACACAGGTATCCAAAAAGGAAAGCCAAGCAGCAAGACAGGGTGCTTCCAAAATTCCCACCAGCTGAAAAGAACGGCTGGTCGACACGTTCTTTGTACTGCTGTGAACTGAAAAGGCAAAGTACTGCTCTGCAAGTGCGCTGCAAACAGAGCTACGTTTTCCAGTCCTGTAATGGGATGGAAAAAACACACCGGCAAAAATCAAATAAAGATTTAAAAATTGAGACTTTCATGAATCCGAATTCCCCCAGAGTGTGGAAAGTCACTTGATTAAAGCAGTGCTTCCCATAACGTTTTCCCCAGCGAATGGCAGCCAAACACCTCCCCTCTCCCCAGATCCACAGCAAGAACTCGGAGTTAGGAGTAGAGAAACGCAGCTGCCCCCTGAGGGAGGAGAAGGTGCTGCCAACTCGCACCAAGCACCTGCAGCGTAACTTACTCCTCTTTCTGCTGGGATCACGTTTCCACTGCCGAGCTTCACCAGTCTCTGGGCTTGGCTTTTGGTTTGGTTTGGGTTTTTTAACCAAAGTTTTGCTTAGTCTGTTTGCTGAGCCGTTAGCATGGTTACAACCAGTGGGAGTAACTGGTTTTACTGGTTAGAGCTTGGCCCTTGCCTGTCTTGGGGGGAAGCAGCGTTTTCGGTGTTTTGGACTAACCATGAATTCCCTCTGGACAAGAACTTGATTAGAGGAAATCTTCAGCTTTGCTTAAGGCTAACGGGAGTAGGAAAGCTTCTCAAATACCGTCAGTGCCCTAAGCTCAATACGGTTTCACTGCAAGTTCTCCACATGCCCAGCATGCTGTCGGAGCTGACCAGAAATCAGCATTGTCAGTCTTTTATGCCAAAGGTTTGGTTTGGTTTAAAAAGAACAAATGGCATTTGGAAAAACAATAAACAAACAGACATCATCTTGCACTTGCTCAGACTCTCTCATAGCTGTGTAATGTCATCAAAGGCCATAAAAGTTTTCAGAAGCAGCGTGCTGGTGCAGCCCAGTCATATTAGATGCGCCGCTCCAGAACTCTAACCCATGCCCACATAGCTGGCTTCTTTCAGCACTATTTGCAAGGAAAACATCATCAAAGAGACACGGTCCCCATTCTCTCAGCCATCTTCGTTAGCCCTTCCTCTCGTTGCCTTCCTTTGCTGGCCTCTCTGCATGCGGACCAGCTCAATTTTATACCGCGTGAGACTCTTCTAAGCACAGGTCTAGCAGATCAAACTCTGGGATGACCAGCAAATGGCATTTCTTTGTAAATGACATGGGGAAAAGGCAAAAGGAAACGCACCGGTGCTTAGGCGGGCTCCCCATCTCCCACACAGCTCCAGAGCGGCTTAATTCCTTTTGCAGCTTCTCCCCAAATTTGCTCTGGCGCCCTGTATGCCCTCCCCGCCCACTCCCATTTTTCAAGAGAGCGCCGCAAACATACCTGTAAGGTGCTGGTTAAAAAGTTGTCCTGAGAGACAATGTCCACAAAAAAATCAGCTGGGATTTCACTGAGCTGGTGATACAGGACAGAAATGAGATTGAGGTAAAGGTCTTGATACTTCCCTATGGCGCTTTCAGATCGGCAGAGGATGTTTAAGAGTCTCTTCCAGTGCTCAAATGCATCATATACGTTCCCGATCAGGAAGCAGATGAAAGCAAACTGCAACTCAGCTGCGCACATTCAGCAAAGGAAAAGAAAACAAAACACACGTGAGACTAAAACCATACCTGAGGTACGCGTCCTCCCCAGAACTCTGGGAGTGACTGCGCAAAGCTCCGGGTTTGCCTTCTGCGCATGCATTGTGCTCTCCCAGCGATTCTGCTAACCGCAGTTGATACCCCAAACACCGACGCTCTGCTCCTCAGCTGGAGAGAAAGCAAAGCATGATCAGGCAGGTATCTGTAACTGTAACAACCATCTCTGGGGAGTGACCTTACAGGCAGAGTAGACAGACACCCATGGACTTCCACCCTCACCTGCCTTCTCAAAAGGACACCCAAATAAGGTGGCAGACATTGCTGCTGCTCTCCTGCAAGCATTGGCTCTGCCTGTGCCTGGGCTTCCAGAGCCACACGGGAGCGCAGATGCTACTGCCCTCGAATGCAAGGGCTGGGGGAACCTTGGGAGAGCTGAGTGGTACGTTAGCATTAGGAGCCAGGGCTCGCCTCACTGGACTCGTAGCATCAGTTGTTTTACTAGAATGATGGCGTCACCATTTCCTAAGGTAATTCATTCTTGGTACATCCCAGAGTTGGCTCTAATTATTTTGATAAAGAACAAATTGTATAACCTTAACACAGAAAAAATGGAAGAAGGGAAAACCACAGGCTTATTCCAAACCTCAGCAGCCCCGAGGCTCCAGCTCAGCTGCGTTCCCAAGCCCTCCCTCCATCCTGCCACAAACCAAAACCACGCTCCAGGACCTCCACGGGTTTGATATTTATTCATATCACAAGTTGCCAAAAAAGGCTGGCAAGGAATTGGGACCCTGCGACCAGGAGCCGCAGCCCTCGTGGATGTCTCCGGCAGCGGGGCTTGGCAAACCCCAGGAGCTGGGCCAGGGCTGCAGCCGGAGAGGGGACCGGCTACTGCCTTGGGAACTGCCTGCTGGGAGACGGTTCCCGAAACGGGAAAAAGAATCTGAGAATTACGATGTTTGCCCCCATTCAACGCACCCAGGACTCTGTAAACTCCATCCTCAGGGCTTCATTTAATAGGCAAACTGCCCAGCTGGGGCCAGATGACCAGGCCCCCTTTGCTCAAGATGCAGCTCGCAGCCACCTGCGATTGCTGCTTTTGACTTAATTTGAGGCTATCTGGGCTCTGAGTGCAGCACCCTGGAGTGAGAGGGGCATGTGTGGCAGGCTGGCAGCTCCAGGACACCCAGCACCACGACCTCACACCAGTGCAACCGGTGCAAGCCCTAGAGGGGCTAAAAGCTCCACAAACTCCTGACCCATCAGGACAGGCAGTTAGGAGAGATGCCTCAGGGCGCCCGGGAGCGGGGCCCACAGAACAGGCGCAGGTTCCGTCCCAGAGCTCTCATTTTGCAGAGAATTGACTTTACTCTCCCACAGGGCTCTGCCAGGTGGTAGGCAGCACTCACCGAGCAGATCCAGCGGCTGGCTGGCATACCGCTGGGTAATCACCCCCTCCAGGGCGTAGCTGAGGTCCATGCTGTGCCTGGTGATCTCCTCTGGGGTAGCACCTTTGGGGTACATCTGCTTCGGCAGCTCCGTGAATCTGATCTCAGTGCCGGCTCTGGGCTTCATGCGGGGCAGCCGCGCCATGCCCTCGGCGTAGCTCTGGCACGCGGCGTCGAAGCGGGGCAAGCACTGCTCTGCCCGGTCCCCGCG